AGAAAATGCCCAACCCCTTCAGAGAGAATGCCCAACCTCTTCAGAGAGCATGCCCAACCTCTTCAGAGAGCATGCCCAACCTCTTCAGAGAGCATGCCCAACCCCTTCAGAGAGAATGCCCAGCCCCTTCAGAGAGAATGCCCAACCCCTTCAGAGAGAATGCCCAACCCCTTCAGACAGCATGCCCAACCCCTTCAGAGAATCATGGTGGTAGTTATCACACAGCACTCATGGTTAGCAATTGAGTTTAGGATATAATGAACTTGGACGTTTTTTCCTCTTATTATGAAGGTTCATTATGAAGCATACAACAGGAGGTGGGGCAACGATGGCATGCATGAAGCTCTCACATGGGACGAGCATGAGGTAATTGGTGTGTGTTTAGTTGGAGTCCTGTTGATTGGTCTGGCTGCTTGTCTGTTGGGCTCTCTGGCTGACTGTCTGTCGGGGAAGCTGGGTGTCGGTCGAGCTGTCTGTCTCCTTGATTGGCTGACTTCATTTGGCAGTTCTGAATATTTGTATTGAGACTTCTGACACTTGTTTTGGCAGGGCAAGATAGATGCATTCAAGAAGGAGCATATTTATCCTACCATTGTCAACAAGGAGAAGAAAGAAAGATCGTATCCTTTTGGAAGAATGTTAACGTACCATTAAATATGATGGTTCGCAGTGTTCAGTTTTAATTGGGGAAGCCATGTTTAAGTGCGTAATTAAACTTTCATCAAATAGGAGTTTATGCTGAACTGAAGAAAGTGATGTCACCATTGAAGGAGATTCCAGATATATTCCTTCTGTGAGCAGTTTCCTTTAACTTATCCTTCCCACCAGCATGATGCAGTGGCTAAGTACCCTTGCATTACACACTTATGATGTCCCAGAGACGCCAAACCCTTACCGCAAATTGTCCAGAGAGATACAAGACAGGAAGGAGGAGGTTGGTGTGAGCTGTCGCTCTTGAATATAAGGTCACGTTGGGTTTTGCTGCTTGCTAAACTTCAAAATGTAAATAAGATTTGGTCGGTGTTGTTGGAGTGATTTGTACGTCACCCTGTGGTCTGTCATAGGAAACCACAATTTCAAGAAAACAAGAAAACCACCCTCTGCCGTCAGCCTCATGCAGCCAACCTGAATATGGGGATGGTGGCCCAGAAGTGACATCTACGACCAGTCAGGAGCAGTCTAACCAAGATGGCAGCAGGTCAACAGAAGACAAGCACAAGGCCAGCTCGTCATCATCAGAGGTGCAGCTTCCAGATGGTACTGTCAATACTCAAGTTCTAAAAGCAAAGGACAGTTCTGAGAAAACTTGTGAGATTTCAAGCACATCAGGAGGTCCTAGCACTGAAACTGGGAACAGTTAGACCAGACTTGAAAGTGAATTCTATGTGGTGTTATATTTTTCATTTCCTTTCTTGTATCAAAGAAAAAAAAATATGGATTCAAATTTGTAACTTCTTTATCTAAAAAGGGCCACATTCTTGTTATCAAACATTCAGGTACACAGGTAGTCAGTGTTGTATTTGAGTCCATCACAAGACCCTGTCCATCACGTCATTCTGTCTTAAGCCAATTCACAAACTCTTCAAATGAACTGTGACAAACGCTTTCCTTTGTCATTGTTCACCCTGTTACTTATGACTGGCCTTGTGAAGGGACTTGTGATGGAACTTGTGATGGACTCGACTTCAACACTGCACGTAGTCTGTGGATTCATCATTGGCTGGCAATCTGAACTCCACCCATGCCAAAAAATGCATTACATTTGAAAACAAGGTGCCAGTTCCAAATCTCTGAGAGTATACTTTTTCTTTATCAGTTTATAATAGCCTATTTTGGGCACAGGACCTAATGGTGTGCCATATTTCCCTTGAAATCCAATGTTAGTCACCAAAAACTGTTGCTGCAGAGCATGTGACCACCTCAGTTTGCTTAATTATTTCAAAACCCCGACAATGACAAAGCCACATCAATTCTGTTTGAAAATTGTGGCTGTTTTAAGACACAAATGGTAAACCAAACATCAAGACAAACCTGGTGGTATTGTGTTTGACCTGGTTTTAATAACAGTTTCCGAAGCACATTTGAACAATAATTAATGGCCTTATAATTTCATATTTTTTTTCTCAGAAAAACACCGACACTGGATGCTGTAAATATTTAAAAGCCTTTTGTTTCTTCTTTTGTAAACAAACGATAAAAAAGTAAACACAGTTTCAACAATTGAAGACATGATCATTTTTTTGTACAAGTGAGTATATTCTGTGATTCCTCTTTTACAATTCACATATTTCATCTTGTATCTTTTAACAAGCACTGTTCACTTTTTCTGTTCAAAGAAAAAGCTGAATTTTTTTATCTTTTAATTTACAGACAATACAGACATTGATATACATGTACGACGTTATCTGTGCAACAGCAATGACGATATGGTGTGCAAATAATGCAAAATTTGTCCACTGAAAACTATCAGTGACTTCTTGCTAGTCGCTGATGCAAAAGAAAACAAGTACATGAAAACCTATTCAGCAGACCTACCTATGTGTGTTTATTAAACTCTTGCTGTATCACACTGCATCACTTACTGTTACAGCAGTAACTCTCCAGCACAGTGGCTCAAAGTGCAATGGTGAAATCTGTATTTGGGCGATGACTCATACAAATGACAATGCACAGATACTGAGACAAAGGAGAGAGAATGGTTATTTTAAAAATGCAAGAGAGGTCAGAATTGTTGGCCAAACAAAATTATAAGGTTACCCAAGTCATACTTTTCTTTCATCTTTTTAGACTTGGCCAAACTTTTGTCGCGATATCATCAAGCTATCATTGGGACAACTTGAAGGCACTGTCATGGAGGCACTGAACTGCCAATGGTCCTTAGCAAAGATAAATGCTAAGCTGAAAAGAGCCAAGAACCGGGTACAGGCAATACACATAGTGATGTATTCTAGTTAGTGACCCTTTCATGCTAAACCTCATAATGTCTTGACCTCCTACATTTGCCCCCATAGAATGCCTGTAGATATGGTTTACCGTCGGGGGCAACCTGGGTCACACAATGCATTTAAGTTGGTGAATGTTTCATGTGATTAGTTGTTTTCTTCAGAGAGTGAATCCTATTCCTTACATGACTGGAACATCAAAGACTTCTTGGAAGTCCCTTAACCCTTTGTATGCTATTGTGGTGCAGGTTTGCACTGAAGTCTCCATCAGTGCAAAGACTGGTGACTTGCAAAGGGCGATGTACTGAGCACCATACACAGCTGTACCTCTACTGGTAAAAACTGAATTATGAAATAACAAGGGGGTGTCTATTAAAAAGTAACCAGACACAACTTGGAATTATTTAAGAGGATTATAAATCAACCTTAACTTGAGCAAGCAATTGACATAAAGCTAGGGGGTTCCATGAAGTCACCTCTCAGTCACATTAGTGATATGGCCTCTCCAATACCTACAGTAAGCCCCCTTCAATGATAGTTGGGGTTTTTTTTGAAGATCCCTTTATTCTATTTTACAATTAAAAATTTGGCTTGAATCGTCAATATTACTTGGGATTAAATCCGACACATCCCTCTCGTGACTTGCGCCTATGATTCCAATGCTGAACAGCTGTTTCCTTACAGACCTTTTAAAACCTCTCAGCTGACATCAGCAAAGATCTTTAAGGAAAGAAAGTTCAGTAGCGGGTATCCATATATAGCTTTAAGTTCACTGTCCTTTGCATTTTTCTCCCTCAAGTGCCCCTGTCTGCTTTGAGCCTGGGGCACACATCAAGTCCAAACCTACTCTACTCTGTAAGACCTTTTTATACAAAGCTTACACTAATCCTTGTCTACTGATTTCATATCGTGTTCTAAAATGTCCTTTACATTTCAACTTGCAATTCCACTTGTTGCATTCCAAGTCAATAGACAGCTTTAGAAGCTTCTTCAACCCCTGAATTAAACAAGTGTGTGATAACCACTACCGTACTGTGAGAAGCAACCTGTCCTATTGCCATAGTTAGCCAACCTGGCTTGCAGAACTGTTTAATAGAGGGATCCCAATAAGACGCTTTTAGCGTCGATCTGCGCACTTCCGCATTTGAAACCAGGCTGTATGTGTCAGCTTCAATTCTTAATACGATCAGACGATTGAAAGTAAGGAGTCAAGACACAAACTACATAAAGGTATGTTAAATTCAGACTTTTCAGGCTGCCAAGTTTTGTTGTAGAGTCTTTCAGAATGACTCAACATGTGAAATTAAAGGAAAAAACAATGGCAATTTACTGCGAATTAATGTACCTGCGATGGTCGTGTATCTTGTGCAGTGGGCGTGGTTTAAACTTACGAACCGGACACTGCATGTACAGTGTCGACTTCGCGGGTGCGTGCGACGAAGTTCAACACAGACAGCCTCGGTTTTGATGCGGATATGCGCAGACGGCGCTGGAATCCCTCTATACCTGATGAAGGGTTTTAAGGGTAAGTAGTGTGCATGACAGGTCAAAGTTCAGGAGATGCCATTGCTAGGTGGATATCAGATTTGCATTGCCATTGGTCCGATTCCATTTATTACTCTACTTCTGTTCTTGGTGGATGGAATATCCAAGCTTTGTCAAGGTTAACACCAATTATTCTCTGGACCATAAGCCCTGTGCTCCCCCTTTCCATGTACAAAGTTTATAGCTAGAGTTGCAATGTTGAGATAAATAAACAGCATATAATTACCTCCATCCAAGGTGCTTCTTTTGACTTGGGGACACTATTATTTAACTGATCTGGATACAAATCAAAACTTCTGGCACAAGCTTGAATTGTTTGCTAGGTGAAAAGCATTGAGGAACCAAAGTACTGCAAACCTGAAGGCAGAATGCGTTAAATTTAATATCCATCATTCTGGTGTGATGATAAAAACTACAGCAATGTGAGATGATCCATTGCCTCCAACTATTGTATTAATCAGAAAGCAAAGTGCAGCTAGTTAACAATATTCTGCTGGCCCACAGAAAAACTTGGCATGTGCGTGTATTTCCTCCAGGAGTAAGTACAATAAACCAAAAAGATCTTGTGATGTGCTCCCAACTGGACTTAGGATCTGTGAATGTTAGTGGCAAAGCTTGTCTTAGTTCAGATGAAAAGATACTGTGGTTACATTTGCCAAGAACTTCACAGTGTGCACACACACATGATGAGATTATCCAGCAACACATATGTAAACAGAACAACTTGAAAACATCACTGTGGTAGATTCTCAGAATCTTTTTCAACTGCTCTTCTCGTGGCCAAAGATTATGCAATGGCCATGCTCGTGAGAGTCTGAATTATGGGAAATTGGAGTACAGATCACGGTGTAAGTGTTGCACATGTCCAGGATCAACTGATTTATTTATAAATGCCTAGTCTGGTTTCACAGAAATGCACGATACTTTCACTCTTTCTCGATGATGTGAATTCTGCAATTGACATCACAAAGTCAAAAGGGCATTGTTTAATGCTTCCTCTCTATTTAAAACACAAACTTGCAAGACTGGAATGCAACTCTTTGAGAGTCGATACAAGTTTGCTATATTTTTTACAACACTTAACAGAAAAGTCTGCAAACCACAATGCAGTCCTTGGTTCATAGCTCACAACTTAACCCCAAATCTGGACATCTGTAAATGAAAATGTCCTCGGACATTCCATGCAATTGAAATATCTTCTTCAGAGAAAGTCTTCAGGTGCTACATGCAGTAAAGTACTTGCAAATGTCCTCAGATGCTCAGCAGCAAGGTGAACTGATTGCATCATCCTGATACACTCAATGAAGTGCAGCCTTTACACCTGAAAACAAAGTCCTCAGACAAGCAGCACAGAAACACAGGCACTGAAAATTCCGTCCTCGGGTGCTCTGTAGTTTAAAGCATCTGTAACCAAACACTATGTCCTCAAATTATTTGGTACAATGAGCGAGTAGATGTAACACAATGTTGCCTCTGTTTAACTGACAGTTTACACACACACGCACATAAACACACAATCCTTCAATGCTGAAATAACTGAAACAAATTAAGTTGGTTTTCTCTCTTACAAAACTACAATTTACAGCATGCAATAGTTTGATACTGCTTCGCATTTTCATTTAAAATAAAAAACACTGATATGAAAAAGAAACAAATCCAGCAGATAAGTAGTTTTCACCCAATTTTAAACTTTCTTACAGGAGGGCCTCCCCTTTTTGGTACAAATACATCACCAAGAAACAAGAAACGAAATAATACCAAAAAAAAAAAAAACACGGTGCAAAGTTCTCTACTGAGGTATGCGTTGGTCCAGTGAAATCAAACATTTAACATTTCCAACATTTCATTTTGACAATTGACATCACAGCATGAATATTACAGTGGGAGCTGGTTGGTTTATGCACACAATGAACATCATCAGTGTTTTACGTACACAATCACATTCAAGAACTTTCTTGCACAGAATTTTTTTCTTTTCTTTTTTTTTTTGTCCTTTTGAAAGTTGATAATAAAAACATCACATGCACAACTTTTTTTCTCTCTCCATAAAAAACTGACGATTAACTGGATGGATGAATACAAAGAGGATGAAGTTGGTGGGTACGTTGGTGACAGCACGACTTTTGCCTCTGGCAAATCAACAGCCACTGCACACCAACAGTCTGGGGAGGAGTGACACAGGAAGCAATATTACCTTTAAAAATGGTTTTCAATATACACACCGCTGTTGTTTTATTAATCTGGAAGATGGGGAAAAAGTGGCTGTCTTTGATTTGTATTTAATTTTTTTCTGAAGCAAGTATGGCGTGATCTATTTAATTTACTAATTGGTTCCCCACTTTCATTGGTCTCCGTCTGCTTTTGGTGTAGGGGTCAATGTAGAATCGGCATGTAGATTGGATGTAAGCATGAGGGCTGACACACCGTGATTCTCCATGGCCGGCTGCGTGGGTTGTGGAACCACCACCTGTGCAGTAGGCGCATATCGGTAAGTGGTTGAGCCATTCAGTTCAGGGGGTTGGGCGGCCACTTCCGTCCACTGGTTGCTTGGGATGAGGTATTCCTTGTTGACGCAGTTGCGTAGGCTGTGGGGTATCCGGCCTGTCACGGCCCGCCGTATCTCACCCGCAGCGCTCTCCCGTACCTCCGTGCTGCTCTGCTCACTGTACCAGGCGCTGTGCGGGGTGCAGATGAGATTGGGGGCGTCCTTGAGGGGGCCCATGGAGAAGGTGAAGGGCTCGTTCTCGTGGACATCCAGGGCCGCCGCCCGGATGCGGCCTTCCTTCAGGGCTTGTGCCAGGGCAGTCTCGTCAATCAGGCCGCCCCGCGATGTGTTGACCAAGAAAGCTCCCTGCCGCATCTGTTTGATTGTGAATTCGTTGATGAGATGATGGTTGTGCTCGTTGAGCGAGCAGTGAAGCGTCACACAATCACTCTGGAACAGGAGGTCCTGAAAGAAGGAAAATCAAAACAATTTTTAATCTGATCTTCATGCAGACAACACCATCGGTGACTAGAATGCATGTCACAAAACAAATCAAAAGTCACCAGAGCCACTTCGAAGTTGAAGGCCTTTAACCCCTTCGCGCCGGGGAGCGGCTTTAGCCGCCGTAAAAATTGAGATCCTCAGCCCGCTTTTCAGCTATTATTCTTGGCCCACGCTCGAGCGAACACGATGAAAGAAGGCAGACCCTGGTTCTTGTATATATGGTAATTAGTCTTTGTGTGTAGCCCAGTGATGAAAAGACCGATTTTGCATCATAATCACCAGCTTCACAATAGTCCCCACTTTGAAAAGAGGCAACGGGAGTGTGGAAGGTTGAGTAGAACCACATGCCACCGAACAATCAGCCTTTTCAACGTGTAATTCAAAGCGTGCAGAGCACGCAGGGCCACAAACCGAGAAATTGCGGTTTGACAGGTGGCCTTCGTGGCCAAGCGAGGCTGGAATTCTAGGAGTCGGCTTTCAGAAAGAAATTCCCATCGTCAAGGGGTTAAAGAATCTTGCACAAGCCTAAATCAACAGCAACCCTCGACAGTTTTCCACCAATACATTGTCCATATTCAAGAGGATACCCCAAAACTGAGAGATATGTCAAAACAAGACAGCTTAGTTTACTCTTTCTAATGAAAACTAAAACCAAATTCATGAAAACAAAAAATGGCCGTAAGTCTCATTTTGTGGAATGTATTCACAAAGACATCTCTCCTGCCCCACCCCATCATTTTCATCAACTCACAAAAAAAAGTCACTGCAGATTTTTGCACCCTGCATTGCTTTTGGTCTCCAGTATTCTTTCCTTTTTCCGAAGCCTTGCAACTTGCACCATACTGTGGACTCCTCAGTTCCATTACGGGAACTCAATCAACCTAGCTTACCTGCAGTGTGTAGACGCGAGTGAGACCCAGTGATTTTTCTATGCCGTCTGCTAGATACGGGTCGTAGAAAAGAATGTTGAACCCAAACGCCTTAGCTCTCTGGGCTACCGCTGTACCACAACGACCTACAGCAAGAACGAAAAACACCAGAAGAAATCAAGGATATTATTAGGTTCTTACTCCATTTTTTTCTCTTTTCATATTTTCACCATCAAAGCAATAATCACTCCTTAGGAAATGCACTTAGACATTTGCCCAACATATAATACAATAGCATTTCCTTCAACAATGAACAAGTTGCTTTACAGCTTGAAAACAAAGAGAACAGAAAGCACCCATTTGAAAGGTCGGGCTACCATGCCAGCCTCACATGGTCCACAACTATAAGCCCTTGCCAAATTACTTTATGAAACGTACACCCCACACATTATCAGTATCTAAGGTCTCTTTATCACGTTTACCAGTAGTTTACAACCCCAACCAGCCAATGAGACGTCCCCAATTAATTAAATGTCTCAGCATCCTACTAGTCTCTACAAGATAACACCTGTAGCTATGAGACACTTTAAGTACCGCTCACAGTATCAAGCTCTGATTGGAACATGATAGCTCCTTCAACTTAAACAGGCTTAACTACCCTGCACACCACTAATCCCCACCCAGACTGGGTCTCGCCTCCACCCGTTGTTACCCTACCTAGTCCAATGATCCCTAAGGTTTCCCCCCGGATCCTGGTGGCCCCTACAGCAGCTTCCCGGATCTGCTCAGCCCCAAGTAGCTTCTTGCCTTCCTTGACCATCTCGGCCATCCAGTGGGTACGGCGGTACAGGTTGAGGATCATGCAGAGTGTGGAATCGGCCACTTCTTCCACACCATAGCCTGGTACGTTGCACACTGCCATTCCTGCCGGGAACCAGGGATGAAGACACCACAATCAAAGCAACCCTTCATTCATTCATCGGAAAGTCTGGAGGACTGTGCACTACAACTTTCAAACTAATATTTCATGACTGTTTCAGAAATATGAAAGAAAGTTGCCAAACTTCAATACAATTTCTTGCACTTCAGCATATTATTACTGTAGATCGAAGATTTTCAACAGCCCAGAACACACCTTTTTAAACTCATCACACCCAAACATTATTTTCCCAACATAAAGATCTCCATAATAACATCAAGTCTTCATAGTTCCTTACTGTGGGTTTGTTTGGTTTGGGGGCTTTGGTTCAGGGTTTGAGGTTTTTGAGTTCTGAATTTGGGTTATTTGCTCAGCATTTTTCTCTAACTTCATTCTTTCTCCTGGATTTTAGACAAACATACCTAAATCTCCTGCCGCTTTGATATCGATGTTGTCGTAGCCAGAGCCAATGCGAACAATGATCCGTAAAGCCTTGAACTTCTCCAAATCTTCTTTGGTCAGTGTAATGGAGTGATACAACAGCGCTCCCACAGCTTCGTTAAGCACCTGTGTTAATTAAAAAAGAAAAAACAAATATGCTTGAAGCTGGGGACGCTGACACACCTGTATATGTAGTTTTTGATGGAAAATCTTTGTGATGGGTATACATTCACACCAACTAAAGAAACTGTAAATGCCAGTGTAAACAGGACATGTTGACAATTCACTAGACATTCAACTCTAAGCGACACAATCTCACTGAGCTGCTACTGAACAAACTTCCTGAAAAGTAAACAGAAAATTTAGGCTCTGTCAAAAAAATCTTTTCAAAAATGATACAAACTGCTTGAAAATGTCAAGTTATATTTTTGGCCTTATTTCGGTTCTTCTTTTGGCCAGGAAATACATTTTGCTGGCAATATTTCCAGCCGAGAAGCCCAGGAGGGGTGACTAATCTCCTCCATCAAGCAGACAACTTTTGAGACAGTTCTGGTGGTCTCACATCTGAAAATGAATGAAGTTGAGGTTTGTCTATGTAGGAGTAACTTTTTCTGGAATGATCAAACGATTACAGATATGAAGTCCCCCCCAACCCAATAATGTCTCATCATAAATGTATATTTCATCGGAATCTTACTGGAACTAGTGCATTACCATGTGCAAGCTTGTAACACAATGCCTCCAAAAAGGCACACCAGAATGACTAACGATCTTGATCAAAAAGTTCCCTTCAGATTTCCTCAGTTTGTGACCCCCTGACACTTCAAATTTAATGTGTCCCCCATCTAACTGCTGGGCTAAATTTGGTCCCAAAGAGCTTAGCTGCTGGATCTCAATGAAACCAACATGGTCAAGAGGGGAGTGACTCATCCGTACACTTCTCAAGAGGTGTGGAGGAGGGCTTCAATCAGTACCTCTAGGGGAAGGGTTTGGATGGCTCAGAGTTTGACCTGAAAATCACATGTGGGGTTTGACATTTTAAGTTTTTCACTGGGAGAGAAGTCAGTATCCTTCACACGTGGACCAAATCATGAAGGGGAGCACATGGTCAGTTGGGAGCGCTACGTATACCTACATGTAGAAATGATTGTGCACATTCTGTTGCCCAATGCCAACTTATCCAATTCTTCAAGGGACATTTCAACCTTATGCGTACAACCACCAAGGCACAATAACTTAAATTTAGACAGATATCGATACCACGCATGAATCCCTGGGCGAACTAAAACGCTTCTTCTGAACTTGCTCTCATACTTGACACTTCTCACTCTCTGCTCTAAAAACTGGGCACTGAAGCCTGAATCTGCCTCAAAGAACGTGCGCCATGACCAGTTCAATTACATGCATTCACAAACAGTTGTTACATTTGAGACATTGCAAGACAAGACACTGTAACGAAAACATTGTTCACTGTGTAACAACAGTACTTTTTCTCTTTTTGTCACCTTCCCGATGGCTGAAAAAAGACAGTGAGCCACCATTTTAACCATGCCTCACTTCCGCCAAAAATTCCAAGATGACTCTCAAGATGAAAAGCAGCACCTGTCGTAGGGTCCTGGAGTTCTTAATTTCCTGGCAGGATAGGAAATGATTGCTCTCTGACCCTATTATCGACTTCCACCAGTGGGGAGGGGGGCGTGAAGGGGACCTGGTGGAGGGAAACTACAGAGGCTCTTTCACAAGGACTGAGGGGAGGAGCAGGACAGAAGAGGTAAACTGAGGGTGGACACAGAGACAAATTTGCTGCAACAAACCAGTAACAAGATTCATGCATTTGAAAATGGACAAGTTTTTTAACAATATCATGAATTTTACCAAGGAAGAAAAAAAGACTCAAGAAGACGTAGATATGGCTTCCCCATCCCCGCTTCACATTCAACCTCAATTTTCAGATTATGGCATCTATTACTCTGATCCCATTCTCTAAGAGACCAACAATCTTGTTCATCTTGGACTGGACGACCCAACCCAAGCAACTCTTGCATTCCAGTCAGTGTAGGGTAATACAGAGTTAGGCATGAACATTCACGAACAGAATACAACACACTGCTATCTCCGCTCCGGATGACCACACTCAGCCATTCTATTACAAAAAGGAAATGGTTACAGAAATCCAAAAGTCGGTGACTTTGGAAATCGCACATAGTCACCACTTCCTGTGACAGTTCACAATCCACTGATCATCAGGGCCATGATTCCAGTTCCATGTAGCAAGGGAATCTTGATGAAAAATTGGACCAGCTAATTTGTCTCTTCCTAATTTCTGAGGCAAGGTTGATTGGTGTGATTGGTTCCCCCTCCCATCTCCCCCCTCCCCATCAATCAGGCCCAGCTAGTATTTTGGTCCCATAGACAACCACACCACTGATAGGCCATTTCCTCACCAGTGTTTCACATCCCCCTCCCCACCGACAAATAATCCCTCCAAATATTTCAATCAGCTTAAAGTTCACTATGTCATACTGAAGCAACAAGTGACTGAAGTGATCTTGGGAATAGTAACTGCTTCTTTTATTTTGCTAAATTGATGGGCTTGTATGGAAAGATCTGCAATTGTTATTCATTGAAGGCCAATGTTAAGGGAGAAACAAGTGCAGTCAGGGATGCCCTCCCCCCATAAAATATTTCATTCAAATTGGAATTTTTCAAGAAGTTTTGAAGCATTCATTCTTCTCAAGAGGTATCAGTTTTCAGTAACTGAATTTTAAGTAAATGCAGTTTGAAATTTAGTTTGACTGAAACAGTGACAATAAGACTACAACAAAGTTATATAAAAACAGGGTGAAATAATAGCCTCTTGCAGTCATCTGTGTTAAGGTCAGAATAGAGCGTGCAGGGTTGCAACCTCACTCCAATGGGTATGATCTTGTTGCACCGTGTTGCTTCCCCACCATGCCTTGCGCAATCTAACCCCTGGTGGGGAAAATTTAAATATCCCACTACTTGGAAGATTAAAAATTAGGACTGTAGTCAATGTGTTTACGTGCAACACAGATTTATGCATACCTCATGTGCACGAGAATAGTCGGCAGCAAGCATGAATCTTTTGAAATATGCATGTAATTCACTTTACGCTTATGTATATTCATCCTGAATAGCCAGTCAGCGTCGTTTTTGTATTCTACACGACCATGGGCTAGTGAAGGTACGTAGCCCATGGAGTCGAGGTTGGCAGGGTTGTACTCTGATTATCATTTAAGAAATGGTATTGTCAAGCATGGATGGAAACCTGAATGAAGTCCGGGATGGCCCGTAAACTGTCTTTCCTGTGCAATGGGGTTTCAGCCACATCACCACTGTCTAGCATGGATTGCTTGGACTGCTATCAGCCGCTTGGCACTCAATCAAATCGAAATATCCTCACAGGCAGACAGCCTTTAGGCAATCTCAACGCGGCAACACAATGAAATGCTTGAAGGAAAAAAAAATGGGTGACACTCTCGAGATTAAAATGAAAACTGCCACAGACTCTAACTACAAATGACATAGGGTAAACTTTGTATCCTTTCCCAAAATCCTCAGCTTCATCAAAATGTGGTATATGTGGTTGGTGAGTAAACAAGCTCCTGTGCCAAGACAGAAATTCCCAACAAGGATTTCCATAGATTTCCAAGCCCAAGCCACAATGAATCACGTCGTCTTGCTGAAATACAATGCCATTAGACTATTCAATAAGTCTACTGTTTTCTGAGGGGAGCAGTTAGTTGGCTGATGCAAAGGATTAAGTGTCGTAAACACCTCCATTCATCACCTGCGTGCCTAATTTAACGAAGATCCTCAAAACTCTTCTTTAAACCATGCCATGACCTTCAGCAAATAGGAAGGTATCTTCACAGAGACTTGTTGTTGTTATTGAACTGAGGTTGTCTTCCCCGACTTTTTTTTTTTTTTGTTAAAAAAAGGGTTCCCTCTTCCGCTGGGAGGAGACAACGTCCTGGGGACAGTACCCAGGGACACGGCCAACAGGAAAGAGATCAATTAGAGACATCCTTGTTGACACCCCCAGTACGCAGAAGCCCCAAAATACCAGCCAGATACAAAAAGAAATGTAAGTTATGGAGGGGGAGGGGAGGTAATCTTTCACTGACTCATCACTTGGAATGTGCTCAACCTGTCTTCTACATGTTGTACCAAGTTCTCCTCGCTTTGGAGATGGCCGGGTGCTCCAACAAGTTCACAGAATGTCTACCAGCTATTCTATTCCCAGTCTTGTACAATTTACAGATAACGTCCCCAAACTATTCTGCGGACACTGATGGGAGAACTCTCCCCCTGCAGTGTTTAGTTAAGTCAATCCGTCTTCTCAATGGGGCAGGTGGCCTGTGGCGGCACGTGGCCTGTGGGGGCATGTGGCCTAGTGGTTAGGGTTTGCAGCTTCCGATCATAGTCCCTTTACCCCTAGGTGCCTCTCTCCACCCAGGAATAAATGGGTACCTGTGAGGGCAGATATGGTTATTTTGTAATAGCTGTTTGCATCTGATATGGCAGCATCAGACTAGTACACTTCTAATAGAGCCAAGACAGTTTCAGAAATGGGCACATGTTGTGACCCCAATGCGCAATGATAATATATCGGTGCCCTTGAATTACATACACTATAAAACAACAAAAGCCATGAACAGCAAAAATTAATCAACAACTACACATATTTTTGAAATGAGATATGTTGAAAAAGACAGTCCAACTAATACTTTTCATATTTTTATATAATCAGATCCCCCAACCCCTGACCCCCTACCTCCAACCCCCGACCCCTCAGCTATCCAGCCGTTGTCTTGTGTCTGGTACCTTGAAGGCAAGACAATATGTGCGCACTGATTTTGAAAATAAAGCTAATCGCTGCCAGCTTGTGTTTGTCATGCAGGCCCTGCTCCTGTCTCGCAGACACTCAAGGAGGAAAAACAGAGTCAATCAGCGGAGGACGATAAAGGTCACTCAATGATTGGCTGGCTGGTTACTTTTTGGGGGGTTACCCAGCGGAGTTAGTCGACAAGGCGTCAGGCTTATGACATGAAGAGCTAGTCAAAGCAGTGAAAGATGGGAACTACAAGTCGGGGTTAAGAGACGGATTAAAAACTGAGATGTAAAGATTTATTCAGAATCCTAATCTGTTTGCCTGACTTCATACATAAACAGACACTAGTTTGTGATAAGAAAAACGAGAGGGTCGTTTCTCATAAACATAAGTGGCACTGATGAAACATTTCAATATGTTCAATCTGAAAAGCTTACAAATACGTCCAGCAGTCCATGGGGCAAGTTTTATTTTGAACTCACGGGCATGTGGGTGAACAATTCCCACAAGTCTCACCTTTTCGTGGATTTCGTTTGTGGACTGCGCATCACAAAATGCCACAGTAGCCACGTCCTTGAGAATGGGCATCTCGACGCTGCAATCCCGGCCGTCCAAAAGTGCCACCAAGGGGCGGGGCGGGAGAGGCTGGGGGTTGTTGCTGGTCACGGCAGCAGCCGGGTGACGGATTCCTTCAGACAAAGAATGAAAGGAGAAAAAGATATACGGCACAAACTGGCACCTGTAAGAAATAATTCAATTATCAACATTCATTCAAACTTATTCATTTCATACTTATTCAACATTATCAGCATTTCAGTAACTCTGTGCGTGCTCAGTTGAAGGCCCTTGTCTCTTTGTGATGAATCATCAACATGTGAGTGTTCTTTACTTATGTGTCCTCTTTACTTCTGAAAGGAATCTGTGCCAACATTAATTTTGCTATTTGGTGTCAAAAAGGTTACCCAAACATGCAACAGAACCAAAACATCAAGAATACATGTACAACAGAAAATTGGTTTTCAAGTCAGCCATGTTCAGGGATGCCAGCGGCCATTTCTGAAGTTAAATGAGGGACAATGAATGTCTTCTGCTTTACGTACTGCATGTCTTTCTACACAAAATAACACAAGCATATTAGATTTGAAGAAGGTCTAATTCCAGAAAAAAAAGTCTGGCAGATCTCAGTGACCACATATGGGTGAAAAGTTACCCAATTACATGTATTTACGAACTATTTGAAAATAATAAAAAGACACCCTGGAAAAAGTCTCAGTGATCTGCCAGTTCCATTACCAAAAGTAATTTTGTCCTCCTACCCTCACTTCATTTCACTAGTTTCCCCTAACTCCCTCCACCTCACTACGTAATCCCTCTTCCTGTGTCAACAAATCCGTACCAAGTTTCCCACTGTCACACAAACAGATATTCCTGTACCCACTACCCCCAAAAATACTCCCTGTTTGCAGGGGAAAAGTAGTTAAGGAACAAACCATGTTTTATTGGTGCCCTTCATGTTGCACAAGTTTACCAGAACTTTCAATTTACCACTTAAGAACAGCACGCGGAGTTAATACACAACTTCCCTCGACGTAATTGAATGGATCCTAAAGTTTGCTTAAAGCTATTCCATGTCGGATCTTTCTCTTTTTTTGTTAGCCAAAGAACCAGTTTTTATGCCGAGTTTTCAAGCTTCAACTGACAAGTGATCTTATTTGGGGGTAGTTCAGGAAATCTTGGTAGTTTTACCCTGTCTTTATCGTCCATTAGGGAATGGGAAATTAGTGAACAGGATGACTTGGCTAGGAGTTGATGTTTCAGTGGTTGTAGGAAAGTGGCTGTGAAAGCAGTGGGAGGAGTGGTGGTTTTTAGCCAGTCACGACCGCAGCTCCAAATCAACAATTGAGTGGCACTGCAAAAACTGAAGGCAATCAAACTGTCTCATTTTTCAAGTCATTTTTTTTTTAAACAGTAAACATTTTTTTCCCAAGAATTTGAGGAAATGGTGAGAAACTGTCAAATGAGTTTAACAACTTTGCATATTTAAACAAGAATCTCTGGAATTCTAATTTGCTTTTTTGAAAAAGCTGGGGGTTGGGGAAGGTTAAGGTTTGGGGTCTCAACCTCACATTCCTCATTGAGAGTGTCACAGTGTTCGGTCCTCCACACACCTTTATAGACTGAAAGAGGCCACTGGATGGAGCCTGTGCATAGGGGAAAAGAGTACACCTGCTAGAAAAGTCACACCCACCTTCAACAATCCTATCTACAGACATTCTAGGGCGTTTGGTCTTCTTTTTGTCCATAGGGGAACGAGGCCTAGAGTTGTTGAGTGTACTGACGTCCACTGTGACAGGCGGGTCTATCTCTGGGTCTGGTACAGGCACGTCTCCTTCCTTCTTCTCGCCCCCGGGGAAGTGACAGCTGCAGATCCGCAACTACGCATGGGGAATAATAAGGTGGCAGAGGAGAGAGGGAACAGGGTGATGAAGGCGGTCACAGACAAGGAGACAAATGATGACAAACATGGAGATAAACAGGAACAAGAAAGTACCAGATAGCCACAGGATTACAGGATAGCCACAGGATGACAGATTTAAAAAGAGGGAAAAACAAAAGAAATCAATTGTAAACATTTCAATTTTAATACTGCAATTTTACTTTCACTTAAAAATGCTCAAACCTCATCTTTAAGGTCCACTTGCTTACACCAAACAGGTCTAAATAATTTGAACCAAGTTGTTGGAAGTTTGTATTTGAACTAATTTTCAGATCTTCCACTTTCAAAATCACTTCATTATTTCCAAGAATTTTGAAACTAAAAAATTCTTCATCAGCAAATGTATTCACATTTCCTTTTTAACCCTGTGTACAAAAATAAGGATTTCACAAGAAAATGTTTCATCCAAAACTGTCAAATTTTGATTGATCACACATGACAAGAGGTCAAAGCACTTCAAAATACACACATGTATGGGGAGGATTCTTTGAATTAATTACTGTCACTTGGACAGAAACCCAGAGTGGATAATCCACAATTTGAAATTCTGATCATAGAACTGTTTTAACCCAACGGTGCACAAACACACATGGACGCTCGCCTGGACAGATCTGACAAGAATACCACATGACAAGTTCACAAGCAACAAGATGCAGTCCATGCTGTATAGTATGGTATACAGGCTAGGTATGTATCAAACACTCCAACCTGCACATGAAATGTTCAACCAACAGAGAATCACACATACATGTACAACGTGTACAGAAAAACACTTGGGTAGAAACACAATGCATTACATGTATTATGTACATGTACATGTACATCGGGAAATGTCCTGGATGATGCAAAATGGCAGGACACACATTAAAGCCATGGTACAGTACACCCATACTTACCAACGACTGCTCAAGGGAAAAATGTGAAATAACGGGAAAGGTTATCCCAAACTGTGAAATCATTCTGTATCAATTCACATTTTCTTTTACGTCATCACCTAAAGGATAAGGGTAATTCCAGAATTTAGGGGTCCTTTTTTTCGTGTCCCTGTCACATCTGACATGTGATTCGGTAAGTTCAGAACACATTTTCTAATTTTCAAGAGTGATGAACTAATGCAAATTACACATGTACCTGCCAAACAAATAGTAATAGTTTGAAATAAATTCTGGTGATATTTCCATGTCAAATGACAAAGGTCAGACGAAACAGGGACACAATGTCACACTTTTGGACCCCTTATTTCTGGAATTACCTATAAACCGTCTTCAGCAAGTTGATCCACAATGTGTGCACCTGCAACAAAACGTTTACTGGAAGACTAGCGACACATGTACCTCATATGGTTTGAACTGTTACCCTTCCTACATGTGTACACAATATGTTTGCATATCTTTAAGACTATTCAAAACGAAAACGTCAATTGCAAATCCTGGTTATGACCCCTGGCATTTGTTCGATATCTTTCCAAATGGCAACTGAATTGCACAGAACACGGCAAAAAAAAATAATAATAATAATAAATACACAAACCAATTTGTTGTTCACTTACCGGTACATGTACAATAACATGTTTGTCACCTTCATCAACGGGTACATGTACCAGTACATACACGCTACATTTTGTTTACATGTTAGCATTTTTGTGAAAATTGTGATCCACTCTCCCTACTTGGCCCCTGAAAGAAGATGTACAAACAACGCAAATAATCATTAATAGATACTGGTAGGCCTGTTCCACAAGGTAAGATTAATGTCTACATGTATTTTCACAGCACCACGTAGCATTCATATCATTTCCAATTATTTTACTCTTTCGTTATTTTTCCCGCCCCTGCACATTCCAGCGATTAGCTAAGTGCATACCTATAACAAGAATTCCATGCCCAAGTATAAAAATACATGAAACAAGATTTCATTTCAACTTCATTAATGTGCCTTGAACAGTCCTTCTCTACACTGAGCTCTCCTTCAACAATACGCGACATATAGAGTGAAAATTCCACACAAAAGAATAATTCCCAAATTCCTCGCTTCACATCAGGAGGTGACAAGTAACTCTACTTTATTTCATTCATGCCACGTTCCAAACACCACTGCCAATCAACTATGGACCCAAGGTGAAGCGTTGCTGGGGATTTCTCTGTTCTTTCTTTCCCGGGTCCCCTGTAGATAATGGTCTTCAGTCCTTGGCAGAGGAGATCTCCTTGTGGACTAGGCCAGAGTGGTATTAGCCTGGACATAAAGGCCTTCGCTGTAGGGGTTAGGAGCCTGCTCAGCTCAGGAGCTTCTGTCATTATACAGTAATTTCTAATTAGCTCTGCCTACAAGTCTTACAAGCACATACATGTATGAGTTTGTCACTGTGCATTGTACCATCCAAAAGGGAAATATTTGCAATACCGTACAGACGCATTCATGTACTGATGTTCATTTGGTAATAAACACGTACAGGTCCATGTGTTCGTGACATGCATACATATACATGTACTTCACATTATACATATACATGTACATACACATGTGTTAGCCTTAAATGACATGTACATGTACCGGTAGGAAAAGTGAACGTTTGCAAGAAGCCAACCCATCATGGATTTAATGTTGATGACAAAATTAGAATTTGTGTGTGTAGGCGTTAGAAAGTACAACGTACTTGGAATTAAAGTAAAAGACCCAACAGCTATTTTGGAAAAGAAACTGGCAATTTCATAAGGCGAACAGGTCAACGAATGTACCAGTGAATTAATTCTCAGTGTTTGGAGTAACAGCAAAAAAAAAGAGTCCAGGGAGTAGAGTCATTAAAGGAAAAAAACCTCAAAACCATGCACACTGAATATGCTTGTTCTCCAACATCAAAGTAAATGATACAGTGTGTACATGTACACGGAAAAAAAACCAAGTTAAAGGCCACTGATTCTACAGTGATAGTTACCTGGATGGGCGGGATTTCAAAACTACCTACTTAACTCTTGAGTAATTAAACTCCTACTGATGCCCCCAAATTGGCAGGGTCCACATATGCAGTGGAGAAAATGACCATTCTTCACTGCTCTTTTCTTCAAGAAATGCCACTGCTAAATCCTTGAAGACGTCTCACCATGACACACAATCCCAACACTGCATGATCTCCTATTCTGACATTGCACAAAAAAGTCTGATAGCCCATGTCAAGCACTGTATGACAAGTTTTTATAAATTGGGACTAACCAATCTGTTTCATTTCATCCAATGATCCACGTATGCTATGAGCCTGCAAAGTATAAACTGAATTAATGCAAAACAAAACAACCCAAAACAAAAAGAAAGGGCTTTTATTAGTCTGCAAATATGCATGTACATGTAGCAATGTCCTCCTATTCCTTTTCACCAATAAATTGAGCAAGTTGCAAACCTTTTATCCTCACAAGGAGCCCACATCATGTCAATGCCGATTAATGCCAGGTATAGCAATTATGAAAAAAAATCCAGCAGTAAATAAAACATTGCACCAAATGTACCCTGCATGTCCGCACGCGTATTAAACGTGCATACGGAAGAGGGTGAGTGACCGATCCTTCAGCCAGCGTACACACACATCAAACGCTATCCAACTGCAGGGGGGTGTATTTGCGGAGTCAACTTGCACTACGGGGGGAAAAATCCAAAGGTAAAAAAATAAAATAAAAAAAAAGATGGGCTACAGGGAAATGGCCAGCATGCGAGCCAGCCAGGTTACAGGGAAAGAGGAGAAAAAATTATGCAGTCAGAAGTATTTTACACGTAAGTAAGAATCGAAGCCCCTGCTGACCATAGTAAAAAAGAAAAACAATTCAGTTGAGCCCTGACAAGTCCAGGTGCAAAAAAGAGGGGGGATTGGAAGACTGGTGATGCCCCTTGGCTGTTCTGCCATGCTAATGCTTTGCCAGTGCCATGGCCAGGGAGAGGCATCTTATCTGATTTGGCCCCTTCTTCGCAGGTGAAATTTGCATGGTTACTGGGGGAGAGTCAAAAAAAGGCTGTGGTTCTTCCAAGACCCCGCGGACACTCAATCATGCTCGCATTAGTGTTCAATCCAAGATGGTGCGAGGGAAAGACAGCAACAACGTGCAGGTCAAATTGACAAGCTTCTTAAGCAATAAATGGTGTTTGCCTTATAGTACCGTGTGGTGACCATTTTTTCTTAGTTTTCTGGCTGCAGCCACAGTATAAAAGATGGACTACCCACACATGAGAAATATCAAATTGTGAGGCAGCTGGGATGGTCTTTGTGGAATGGTTCCCAGATTCATTTACATCACATGCTCTAAGGTCCACCTTCCAAGACCTTACTTTAGGTCAAAACTTTCTGGAAACTGATCACTGGTCTTCAAAAAAGGACTTGGGGGGGGTAATCCAGAACTGAATCTCAAGGTATTTTTGATTTTTCATTCTCACTTACTAATGAAAACCGCAGCTAATATTACAATTATTCTCTTCTTGATGGTACTTGGCATGATTCTGGGATGGAAAAAAAAGGCATTTATTTCTTTTATTATCAGGTACTAAAATATCCTACAAGAGAACCAAACTAACCGAAACAAAGAGTAATAATCTTGTCACCATTACTACAGTGAATTTAAAAGTACAGTGACAAGCAGTAACAAGCATGCAACTGGGAATTCAAAAAAATGAGAAACTTCCAAATTGCACCAGGCTGTTACATCTTTCATTATTTTTAATTTTCAGTAATTTCCATTTTCTGAAGGTATAAATGATAAGTTTTTAAAAAACGAGGAAATCAGATGATCTGAAGAGAAGTTGCATCCTTGAATAAACACAAAAATTACATATGAAACTGTATTGCTACTCCTTCATAAATGTCAGGATTTGCCCTGAAATGTATCAAAGTATATCTACAGGGAATTGATATCCCACCCCCATGTCTTTACCAAACAAATCTGAAATTACACACTAGCAAAA